AAATTTATGAAAGGTTCCACTCATCAGTTATTTGATACGAGGTAGCATGTCATGGAGAAGGGTTCACAGTTGGATGAACTGGATCTGAAGGTTAACTGTAGGAACAGGATTCTGAAAATATCTATGCAGGTTATAAATTAATTATGCATCTAATTACTTATAAAAGCAATATTTGTTGAGCGCCTGATATGTGCAAGTTCTTTGCTAGGTACAAAGATGGAGAAAATATAAAGATATGATGAACCACAGCCACAAGAAATTAAATAGAAGTGATAATGATGATGATGATGTTTATGATCAGCATCAGACAGATACAGATTAAACAATCCATGTGATTTCAGACAATGGGAAGACATTATCCAGGCAAAGGTCTCTGGAAAGCTGTCCTGCAAATGTTGGCATTGAGCTGAGCCTCAAAATACAAATAGACTTTGGGGATATAGAGAGGTGAAAAAGTGCGGAGAAATATTCCAATCAGAACGGCACGAGCAAACGTGCACTTTGGTCAAGACATTAGTGCTTCCAGTCTAATACTCAGCCTGACTGATTTCTAGTCTCTTTGGGTTGTTTCACAATATCATAATATCTTTGTCTGCTAAACACGGATGCCAGCTGCCATCAGGTACTAAAAACCAAAAGGAAGCCACTCAGGCCATGGCCCTCCCTCAACCTTCTTGAAACATGCTTCTTATTCTCTCCTTATTCTCACACAACTTCAAATCTCTCCTTTCTGCAAAGAGAATTTCAGAAACATAGCTGTCAGGAATGGTTAGGCCCTCAAGAAGATTTGCACAAATACCAAAAAGCACAGGAAGGGCTAGGACCTAAACAAGATCGGTGTTCAAAGTTTAGCTCAGCTTAGATACCAAAGTTAACGAATTCCCAAACAGAACGTGTGGGGGAAAACAAACAAAATCCAGTCTCTGATGACATTCAGGTATCTGCAAATGCTTTCCTTGTGTTCCCATAAGAGCAAACAGGGAACTGAATTCAAAAACCAAAATGAGGCTAGTAAATTCCTGAAAAGAGACAGTTCTTTTTCCTCAGAGACAAACCAAATTATGCACTGCCTCTCTCGCCAACAACATACTCTGTATCAAACATTTTTAAAAGAAGGCTGCTGAACATCTGCCGCGCAATTAATGGAATGCAGCAGCATGCTGTAACAGTCCCTGGGAAGGTATTAGCAATCCTGCTTATGAGACATGAAATGTTGCAGACAGTGGTTCTTTTTTTTTGAATTTTTATTTTCCCCTGTCCACAGGGTGGATAAGGGGAAGGAAAAAACAGTTGGGGTGGAAGTTGTGAATCAAATACTCTTCCCCACTGTTTCTCCTTTTTCCCAGGCTTCTTCCCCCTTCTCTTACTAGCCATCCAAATATGAATGCGTTAGTTTCAACCTAATAAATGAAATTGTGGCCAGCATCTCAATCCACTGATCCCCACCTAAAGTGCCAAGTTTTCCATGTGTGGGAGGAGAATTCCCTCCACTGTCTTTGGTATATGTAGAGTCTACATATACCCTGTCCAAGTAGTTTTTTTGTTTTTTTTTTTTAAATCAGGTTGCTAGAGCTAACTTAGGAGCAATCTCCAATAGGAAACTCACCTCTCACATATCTTACTTCTACATCACGATGGTTGAAAAGTGCCAGTCTTGACACACCCTTGTCTCTTTTAGGTGAAAGTCTGGCCCAAAGTGACTGCACCCCTGGATTCTTCCAGTCCTAAAACTACTATGACAAGCATAGCCAAACTCAATATAGCACAAGTTTCCAAGACTCAGTTATTCTGTCAGCCCTTGACATTATCTTCCTTTACTCTTCCAACTGGAGCCAATTATCCGCATATAGACATATATCTATTCTAGCTGCCGAGCCAGCTATGACAGAAAGCTCAATAACGCCCGCTGATTAGGTTTGGAATTATAAAGCCAAAAGACCTTAGCATGAAATCTAATAGCAAAGCATCCTGCACAGCCACAACGGTTAGAAGTCAAAGAATTTTCTTACTCCCTCCAAATTGGCTCAGCCTAAGATGGGACTCTTACTTAGAACTGCATTTTTTGTTTTTGTCCTCTTGGTGATCTTGCATCATGCATACCCATGTTGCCAGGGGCTCTCCTTCAATCTCAGTGTGCTCATGTGGGTTCCCAGGAACATACCTCTCTTTTGCCAGCCCCTCTTCTCAGGGATCTGGGTCCTGTTTCCCAAACTCCTAGCTATAAAATGAACTAGAAATATGAATTGAAGAAAGTTTTCAGTTCTTCCCAACTTCGTATTATTTCTTGCCATCTGGAGTTTATACTAGTGGGATTAATCTTTCATAGTATCAGGAATTGACTTCTTTTTCCACATGAAACTATAAATCCATGGATGCCTTTGTATGTCCTTGCTCTATCAGTTTTCCTGGCCAAGCCATTGGCCAAACCAGTCTCAGCTAATTATCTACTTTTTTGATTCCCATTTTTCAATTTAGTTCCAGCTCTAAACCAGTTGTCATTACAGGAAGGCATCGATAAGTAACATTTAAAATAAGATTTCAAATTCAGCAAAGTAATCTGAACCATCTTTGGACTGTGATGCAATAATCAGTTAAATAAAAACCAGACACAGATAATAACTAATGGAGGAGAAGTATAGAAGGAAGAAAAGGGGTGAAATGTGGGCGGCCCCCAGAACTGAAGAATGGGAGATGTGGGGCTAGTTCCCTGCCTAGCTTGACCTGGGATGCTCCCCCTTCAACAGAGGCCTCTGGGGAATAGTAAAGGGACTGTTTTCGGATAAGTCAAGCCTGAAATAGTGTTCATTCAAGCTGAGTGTGCCACAAAGCAAATTTTGTATCACAAAGGATAAATTAGTTGGCCACATCCCTTCACCCCCAGAGTTCAGTATGAACTATCAGGCTCAGTTGTTTTTAACTTCCAAACTCAAAGGGAAAAAATAGTAAATGATGAGGTTCAGTCTGCCACCTAAACAGGCTAGATCATCTGATCAGATTAAATACATGAATGAGACTGCTTAAACCAATTTCAAATGGTTACTTTCTATTCAGTTGACAATATTTGTCAATAGCTTGCCTATTAGGATGACCACAACTTCTGTTTCTGGACTTTGATCAGTCTCTTATACAACCAGCCATGTGTGACTCTGACATTTGTTACCCCCATTCACCAAAGACCAAAAGTCACCTTCTGGGCAGGAAAAGGCCAATCAAGATCACCAAATGCCCTGAGAAAACTTGGCAGCCTTTTCTTCATAGTATTTTTATTAGCACACTCTTCAGAAAGTGACATTTGTTAATTTGCCTCCTGCCTGGCTTTGACCAGTAATGGAAGCATATGAAGGCAGAGACTGTCTCCAGTGCTGAGAACATTGCATGCCCAGAGTAGGCAGGCACTCAGTAAATGTCTGTTCAATGGGTGAGTTAGGACAAGACGCAGAATAGTAAATTAGCTCTATTCGATCCTCCTTGCTCTTAAGAGTCGTCTTCCTCAAGTGACACTCCGAATCAGTCACACTTCTGTTCAAAGGTCTTGATGGCTCCCAGAGCTCACAAACTTAAGTATAAATGGTCCACCCTGGTATGTTTCACACTCCATCTCCATATCTCATGGAGGAACAGTGGCTTCTAATATTTACTTCTTGAAGGCAGTGGGATTTTTTTTAAACAAAATCTTCTATGAACTCCAATAAAGAAAAAAGATAAAATCCAGAAGGAAGAGAGGTTAGTGGTCAGCCTATTTGGCCTTCCTCTAGACACAGGGGCACCTCTGGGAATCTCTAGAAAGCCAGAGAATGTAGATGGTAACCGCTACTTTTTCCCTTGGTGCTTGGATTGAGTCCAATCCTATCCACCCTTGAGGTTCTCCCCCAAAACTACCTCCTCCACGACACATTCTTGTATCACTTTTACCAGATCCAATTCATCTCTGCTTTAAATTTCCTATACAACTTTGGTTGTTAATAATAAAAAGAATAAAAAGAAAAATTATACCTTACTATGTGCCAGACACTGTCCTGAATTAATCCTCACACAATTCCACGGATATAGGTGCTATTATCACCTCCAAGGCACATAGAAATGAAAACTCTCTTTCAAGTTTACATAGTGGGTAACAGAGCCAAGACTGAAATCAATGATCTGACTGAAAAAAAAAAAAAAAATCCAAGTGCTTAAATATGCTCTGTTGCCTCTCTGTACAAGCATTTATGCACTTTACTCATTGGGATACTCCTCACTGCCTGCTCCCCGCCCCCACAGCAGCACAACCACTGCTAAGCCAGACTTCCCCACACCACAACCAGACTGTAAGATTTTTGAAGACAAAGACCATTTCCCACTGGTGTTTGTATCCATGAAGCGCCAGCACTCTGCAAAAATAAATACTCAATTAATATTGTTAATTTAATTTACTATTAATGTAACATAATAAAATCTATCTCTAAATGCTTAGGATTACTTGCATCATTACTGGAACCTCTCCATAGCCTTAGAAGGAGGATTCACCCCCCTAAACACCTTTGACAGGTGAAGAGATGGACATCAAATAATTTGTGAGATCATGACCAACTCCAGGTTTAGTTTCTGGCTGAGGACTTGTTCACCTCCCAAGTCCCTGCCACTTCCCCTGCCCTACATTATCCTTTGTAATGTGTATATTTTGAGAGTAAGGCTTTGCATAAGACCAGAAAAAATTATTTGTAAGCTGAACGTTATTTACAAGATTTCTGTTGAAATGAAACATGCTACACGTGAGGAGATGTATCTAAGTGGTTCACTGATACTTTTTGCCAAAGACGAAGTAGAAAATGTCACCTTATTCTGTTGTCTAACTGGTCCCCCATTAAAGCAGAAACATCAAACAAGGGAACCTCCAAGATCTGATGCCTGATTTCTGATTAGCAGTGGCACCATCTAACCTTGTGACGATGAGGGAAACACAGATTGGGGTTCCCCTTTGCCAGAGCCACTGGCCAGCACCCAGGGACATGGAAACTGACCTGCTGTTAAGTGGGCTGCGTGGACAAAGACTTGCACCCCTGGCTTCAGCTCAAAGTGTACTGAGTTTTGGTTGAGCTTCTGGATCAGTAATTCCGATATCTGAAAAAAGAAATGTCATAATTTAGTGCAACCAAAATTGTCATACTGATTATAAATGGATATGCTGAGAAATGTTTACTATGCTCATCAAGGCATTACAGTATTATATTTGTGAATTATACAAAGGAGATTTTACATGATTTTGATTTTTTTATTCCAGAATATGCAGATATAATTATTTTTTATTCATGACCCGACTTTATATCCTAACGGCTATAAAATAGGAGAAAAACTATTAGTAAATCAAATAATTTTATTCTTAAAAAATTATCCTGCATTATCTTTGCAAAGTCACCCCCAGTTTTTTGAGAGAGCATTTGTTATGCATAAGGACTTACAAGAAGTAAATATGTACAATTCACACATTCTGGTGAGATTCACATACATTTATTTTACTTCCCTCCCCTTCCACAAACCATACCCTGTGGCTTTCACAGAATAAGTACTTTATGAATATTTATTAAATGGTAAATATAGTTCTGCTAAAATAATATACAGTTGGAACCAAGTGTGGCTACAACTTAAGTAATGAACTGCCAATATTTATTTCATGCTTATGGATATTAAGTAAACTGCTTCACAGGCTGACTCATGTACTGGACAGACTCATAGACTTCTGGACTAGGCAATATTTAACCTCAAGCATGGGGCAAATAACCTGATTTGGGTAGAAACAGTATTAAGGAAAGGTTATGTAGATGACGTAAAACTCTGTTCGTCTGTTTAAAGTAGAAAACCTAGCTCGATTTGCTGTTTTGCTTATACTCTGGAGGAATTTTTGAAAAGCTATTATTTTTATGGGATCTCCTTGCCTTATTTTTAATATTCTAATCATCGATTTAACACTTATTCAACATGTTATTTAGTTTAATTAGATGATTTCTGACCATCATTCTGTCAGTTCTGTTCTTATTTTTCTTCCTTTTCTATTTGTCGAGTTTCATTTCCTCCACTGAGTTGTCAGTGGGATACCTTAGATCCTTTTACTAATTCAACAGGGCCTGATGGCTCAGTCTTGAAGCAGAGTCCCTTGCAGAAGCCCCTGATTGGTAATGAAACTAAAGTGTGCGGCAGATAAATGTCTTTGCTGAACAACAAGAACATGGGATGACCACCGGTGCCCTGTGGTTGAGCACATGAGATCCAGTACAAGCTCAGCCTCTCAAATGTCATTTCAAAATGATGCAGAAAAATAAGACTATGATAAAACTATGTTGAAAACAACTTTATTCTTTATATTTGGCTACTCCTTTTCTTGGGCACTGGGAATCTTCCAGAATGGTCCACATTTAC